GGTACCCCGTCTACCGGAAATGTGGGAACCATTGTGGGTTGAATTAGTGCTCGGGCACGAATAGGATCGGCCGAACCGTGAAGGATCGGGACACGCGAGGAAGCGAAATGCACGCGTGTTGGTGGAATCGGTGGTAGAGCTCCGTTACGTCCATTTTTTATTGATCGTTTAGGCAAAGGTGTGGACATGGAACCGTTGGGACTGTTTGTATTGATTTGGTTGGAGGGCGGGGATAAAATAAACCCGGTTTCGGAGCCAGGATGGACAAGCAATGGCATCATGTTGGATGATGGATTGGATTTAGTCTTTTGATCTCTTGGTTTAGGGGTGCATAAGAAATAAGCCATTGGAAGCAGTCCGATGAGAAGTCCTACAAAAATTAGACCCAAGCACAGAATAAGCAAATTGAAGCGGTTTGTATGACGTACAAATGCAAGAATGGGATCAGACTCTTCATCGGATTGTGAATTTGTATGTGTGAAAACACTGGTTTGATTGATCGATGAACTAGATCCTTCGGTGGTCACGTGATCAGTCGAAATCATATGAGGTGAGCTACTGTCTAATTCAAACTCCGGTAAGGGATATCGATTACAACTAGATCGTTTTACATGATTCGCAGTCATGGCAAGGTATTGCGGAGCTTGACTTAGCCATGAATCGTCCGGCTGACAAAGATCTATTGATCCATTTGAACGTGGTCTCTGTTGACCTTGATGCGGAGCGTTTTGTATAGGAATGATCAAACTCTGAAAATGTTTATTCACCACAGACACCGCGTACAGTACCAGTGCCATATTGGCTGATCCTTCAGGACTGAACAAGCCCGGATTAAAATCTAAATTTAATCGGCGTAATCGTGGAAGTCCGTTGAAACTGTCCAGAGCAAGCCACTTGAGGTGATTATGGCCCAGATTCAACTCTTCCAAATGACATAAGCCACGACCTTCGGCGCTGGCCGCTTGCGATCGAACACACTCACCAGACCACAAGATTCCCTCAATCGATTCGATTTGATTAAATGATAGGTCCAACTTTTTCAACATCGGAGTGGCTGCCAGAGCTGTGGAATTCATATCTTTTCGGTAGCTCAAACATTGTTCCAACGATCCGATCAGTCGATTTCGTTGCAACTGTAAACTTTGCAGTTGACTGAGTCCGCTTAAACTGCCCCAATCCAACTGGGTAAGTTGATTCTCACTCAGATGTAGCATACGAAAATTACACTGGCGAAACACACCGGCCGGTAGTTTCCCTCGCAACCCGTTCCCATCCAACCATACGGTATGCAACGTTTCCGGACAGGGTTCGAACACAGCACGACTGATTCGTGACAGTTGTGAACATTTGGAAATTTTTACAAAATTCAGGCGGGGTAAAAATGCAAAGAAATGATCCGGGAGAATTTGGAGTGTAGGCACTTCGATGAGTAGACGTTCAAGTTTCACAAGCGGACGAAGCCAGTACTGGGGGAGCCAAGTGAATTGACTGCGCTCCCATATAGCCAAACGGGTCAAAGAACCGCATTGTTCGAATAGTTTGGGTGAAACACTGATATTCGGATAACCTGTTCGTCCTCCAATCGGACGCGCCGTTAGTGACGGGGTCAGATGATCCGGTTGGGCCTGGCCGGTTAAGATTTGCAAATGGACAATGGTCCATGATTTCTCACAAGGTAATTGAACCATATTGGCCGGGATCCAGCATCGTGCCATGATAGGCACACGTGAAGTGGTGCTGGTTGCAGCGAGGACGGGTTCCGCGGTCACGGCAGGGGGCTGGGACTCTTCGACCGGGCTACATTTACACGAAGCTGGACATTGAGTTGTGGTGGCCTCATCTGACGCAAAGGTTGAATAAATCCAGAGAATAAAGAGTAATCGCATGTAAATCCATTTTCCTGATGACTGGTAGGCGATAGATGGCATGCATAGCAAATATCTTCCCAGTTTCATGATCCAGTGATGATTCAACGGGCAAAAAGCTCAACTATAGGATGCCTATCTTGGAGGTAAGGGGACTCACTTCAACGTTCCCTTTTTCCTCATAAATTCCAAGTTTTATCATCCAGTGAGTGAGTGAGCACTCATGTTCACGGTTCAAACCACCTGTGCAGCACAGAGAAAGAAAAGAAGTGGACACGGCTGAATTTGAGGATATACAAAGGTTGTGATTCTCTCCTGGTAGCTTCCCCATGTGAGGCGTGGTGTGCACACACCATTCAACCGTTCGACCGGTTTGATCGGATTGGTCAATGACGCCCATGATTACGAATGTGCACATGCAGGCATGCATGCACGTACGTAAGAGCCTACATGCGGGTGTGCGCGCGCGCACACACACACACAAGTAAACACGCAAACACCAAATTGCCTCCTCTGTTTTGCGGATGTATGTTTTGATATGGCGCCTGATTAAGTGTGTGTGTGTATTTAGTTTTCCCCTCTATTAGCCCCACCCACCCTCCTCACGTTCGACAGTCGCATGATGTTGAACGCGTCCACACACAAGCGAGCGAGCATGCGCGTGCGCAAGCGCGCACACACACACAAGCGTGGGCACATAGCTGACACCAGTTGATACCAGTTTACAATGATCTTATTCACGCTACACGGGTCTGTTGGTCTCGAATCGAGGACGGGGTCTTCCTCAGGCGACACAGTATGAATCAAAGGTTGTGAAGTGATCGAGACTGGAGTCGAGCGTGATTCTTCAATTCTATGTGCGTGCGTGTGTGTGCGCACGCTTGTACATGTGTCGTTTTCCAAACCCGAGCAGGTTCACCTATACACACAAACATGAACCGCTGTACAGCAGTCACACGCTGGTGATACTAGCATGCACAAAACTGTCTCACTAAAGACCATCCAAACGAAACGAGATAACAGACAATCAGTGATTACAATCATGTTCCCAGGTATTGAATTCTCGGCCCAGATTGATTTTAAACCTGAACAAAACGATTGGTATGAAACGATACACTCCATACATAAGAGCAGCTCTATGTTTACGATGCACCAAGGACCATGTTTCAGAACAGTGTTATTGTTGAAAGAAAAATGACGTTACCATCGAGGTTTTGTACGAAAAGGCTATTTTCCAACTTTGAGACGAAGTATGTAGAAATATTGATTGATTTGACTGACTATCCTTCGGAATTCACCTTAACGCACAATCCCCAGTTCATCGATTCAACCATACACTCGGAAGCATAGGACTCGAGTTTCACTCTTATTAGAGCTCATCAGTAACTGTGAGTCAAATGTGAACAGGTAGAAATAAGCCCTCTGGTCCAACGGGGCTATATCCTCACTAGGTACCAGATAGTAGTCAGTGGTCTTATTCGACTGCCTATATATAACCCGGTCAATTTTGTTCAAACACTGAATCACCTAGTAGAATGAGTTGCGTAAAACCAAACAGTTTCATCCTGGTGAAAACCAATATTTTCAACTTGTCTATCAATGAGTTTTCCTCAGGTTGTTTCGGTCCATTGGAAGCGGAAATGCTTTCAAAGCCCACCTCTGATCGCTTCATGGTTTTTTTCATGTAGATTGATCCGGAAACTCACTGATCAATATTTTTGAAATAATTGTAGCACACCTGCCACATTCATTGTTTCCATTGGTCAATGCGATGCGAATGTTGAAAATAGGACGCTTCCATCAATCAGACGAAAATGTTCCCGATCCGTATCGGGCTCTAGTCCTCACGAACAAGAAATGGACCACGAGAAAGAGGAGGAGCGGGGGCGGCGGAAGCCAGTGACCTACACCCATACTTTGCTGACCATGCTTTATTATCACCTCTCGTGATTGACCGAAACGCTAGTCAAGCCGAAGCAACGCGACGCCATGCAACGGGAAACAGCATTTGCTAGTAACGAAAAAAGATGTCCGTTTTGAATATCTGAGCGGGGAATAATCTCCAAGTATGAGAAGACCTCACTGCTCATAACCGTCAATACCGGTTCACAGTTTGCATCCATGTTCTACTACCACTACTACTACTACTACTACTACTACTACTACTACTACTACCACTAATACTACACTGCCTTTTCCCATCAGGCTTTAGCCAAAACCCGCAGTCCTTTAGCTTCCACCCATAATCCTTTAGCCAAAACCCACAATCCCCTAACCTTGATCTACATTACTTTAGCCAAAACCCGTGGTCCTTTAGCCTCAACGCACAAACTTTGGCCACGCCGCAGTAGGCGAGTCAGATCAAAAAGTATCGGAATATTCTGAAGCCAACGAATTGTGAAAAACGTTATTTTCTATAAATATTGATGCTGCAAAACTTGGTTAGAAAAAATAAGAAGATTTGGGGGTTGCCTAGTGCAACACATGTTGATTGGAGAAGACTTAACCGATGTGTCCGTATGGTCAAATCATTTGATACATTTCGTACAGCTTCAGTGTTTCTGTATAACATACGATACTCCTAGGAGTAAAAATCCCAAGTGTAACTCAAACGATATATTGTTTTGCATTCACACAAGTGAACTCTGATCATCAAAAGGAGATAAAATACGTGCTGAGGATAACAAATCGTTAGTTAAAGTACACCCTCATAACTATCATCAGTTTATTAACGGCTCAGCGTGTCATAATTACCATGTTCGAGGCCTAATTATTACGGGATTTTGTCTATAGCTTCTTGGGAAACGGTGTTCTAAAAGAGATCTTTTGTGAGCAGTGTTCACTATCCTCGACCTTTTAATGTATCCATATGTGAAAACCAGAGTTCGCTTTAAGTGGATATACGAAAACGTAAGCGTATACCTTTGGAATTATAACATTTGAGTTACACTTGGGATTTTTACTCCTAGGAGTATCGCATGTTTTACGGAAACACTGAAGCTGTACGAAATATGTATCAAATGATTTGACGATACGGACACATCGGTTAAACCTTCTCCAATCACTATGCACTAGGCAACCCCCACATCTTATTTCTTAAAAAAGTTTTGCAGCATCAATATTTATAGAAAATAACGTTTTTCACAATTCGTTGGCTTCAGAATATTCCGATACTTTTTGATCTGACTCGCCTACTGCGGCGTGGCCAAAGTTTGTGCGTTGAGGCTAAAGGACCACGGGTTTTGGCTAAAGCTTGGTGGGGAAAGATGTCAAACTAATGCCAAAATAAATGTAATTTTGTAATAGATTTTATCTCTGCAAAGGTATTGTGACAAAACCAAGCTACGTGTTTCACCGATGTAAATAAGTTGAATTTATTGATGAGGTCAAATTTGCCCTAACCGGATAGACTATTGGAACTGACACCAGTAGACAGCAATTAATGGAATTGGTTTCTTTTTACAATGCATATAGTGAGTGGTTCGGCCGTGCAAACAACAATTTATCCGGGGTTCCATCCCGCAACTTAGTTGAAGGATTGAACTCGTCTACTCAGTATTTTCACAATCAGGAGAGACATCGTCATGTGCGGTCTACGAAACGCGTTTGATTTTGTCAATCCCATTGAACACCCATTAACGTAACAAATGAACAGACAGTCTCGCTGGCTGTTACCGCACTGTTTATCAAAGTACCTACCACTCCAAAAGAGATCATTGGATTCACTGGCAGTTATTTGGAAAATTCAGGAACTTCTGTTGGACTGCTCGGTGGACAAGCTCAATCGACCTCTTTATTTATACACATACATGTACACGTGTACAATTGTAGTTCACTGGTACAACGTGTAGACAGAAAAACGGAATAGCCATGGGTTCTTCATTAGGACTACTAAAAGCAGACATTTTCATGGTCAAATTAGGAAACGGAGCGCTCTGAAAACCCAAGAAAGAATTCCCCTTCTATGAATGATATGTGGATAACATTATGTGTGTATACGACGCTGATATTCTGCTGAAGATATTCTTTGGAGCTCATCGGAAAAATATAAGTCACACAGGAAAAGAAATCCACATATGGAATTGCATTTCTACACCAGCTCTTGTCTCGACGGTCAAATGCTTCCATTCGTAGAAGCATTCATCGTAAGAAAACAAGGAGGGGACAGTACACGCACTAACAAAGTTTCGTCCCATTGCAACAGGGGCGAGATTTGATTCGCTACTTAACCAACAGGGTTACGATGGTTTGGTCTTCGGACCTTGTCAAAAGAATACGAACTATTTTATCTAGCGAATAGATATCCCGAGTCATTCGTTCATAAAAGCATGATATCAAATCCACCCCAGGCTTTATACGACACAGCGAATACGAATCGTGTCTATCTCTCCATCCCACTCAGGAAAGAAACGATCGCGAAAAAATATTGATTAGACAAATTCAGTTGTCCATCATATTCACCTACTTTGCGGCTGAAGCCCGCCTTACGTCCAAACCTGTTGTGTTTAAGCAGACCCGTACTACTTATGCATCCTACTGTTGATCTATCAAAAATACATCCTGAAAACATTGCATTCCAATCTCATTTTGGTACTTGGTGGTCCGAGTCTTATTCGAACAACTTGTGATCTCTTTTATCTTTAATGTCACCTTGTCCATGCTGTGTGGTTCGTGATGGAGGACACAAGTATAACTGATGCGAACAGAACAAGTTCCAAAGGTGCTGTGATCAACTGAGACTAGATATGTGCGGAATAGAATTGAAAAAATGCGTTGTGGACTCGTCGAATTACCTAAAAGATGAAGCTTGGCAACACGCAAATCCAGTCACCTGAAAACTGTTTGCTTTTTCCTTTGTCTGATTCACTAGTAAGGCATTGGAAACCTGATGATGGCCTTCGCTCCGTTCGTTTACAATTTAATTATTGGCTGTATGGCGAAAAAGTGTTTCTATGAGATCGATCCCAACTCGGATCATTGATTCAATGGCTATCTTTGCGCTGCTCCAGTAAGATCATGTCGGAACTATGGTGATACAACCTTATAAGATCAAGCCAGCCAGCGAGTCTCAAGGAAACAAATCAAATGAC